TCCGTGGCCAGTTTGGCACCGGGGGGGGGGTGAGAGGCTTTTGTAAGGGTTATTTTTAATGCTCTTTTTGCAGTTTTAAGAGGAAACCACTGACAGTAGCTCAGGTGCTGTGTGTTGTCTCATGGGGCACCTTCTTGCAAAGCTGTAGAGGGATTTTTAATATTTATATGTAAAAGGAAGGATAGGGAGGGAATTTTTTGTAACTATTTTTTCACCCTACATGTGGGGCTTATTGTAATTGAAATAATAAATACTTTTTACTGGGGCTGAAGCTGCTCATGACTTGTTTTATTTCTGATAGGAGTTCTGCATCTCTTCTTCTGCATTTTAATCCCTGTCCACACTAGTGGGACCATCCCATGCTGCCAAAATTGAGCCCAGGAGGCTTTTCCCAGCCTGAGCTGCTGTGTGCTGTTCTCTTGGAGGCTAAAGTGAAGCTTTTGTGCCCAAAACCCTCACTCTCGCTGCGGGTGGTTGTTTGCTTCCCACTTCTATGGCACGGCCCCACGCATCTCCCTAGCAGGGAGGTCTTTCCCGGATGCTTTTCCTTCCTCCTGGGTGAATTTTTGGCTGGCTGGGCTGTGGTTGGATCCAGCGCACGGGCCCTGTGCAGGTTCCTCTCCAAAGGGCCTTATTTATAGCTCTGCAATGCTGCTGGATGCTGCCAGCTCGCTCACACAGGCCAACGTTCATTCCCAAGTGGCTGCTCCATGGTTTCATCAGGCTTGCCCCAAAAATGTCAGGCAGGACCTGGGCCACAGGCTCTGTGCTGAGCCTCACCCAGCACCTGGGGGGGTGATGGCCATAAAACAAGTAAAATCCCGGGTGCTCACTTACTATTTAACCCTGACTCATTATCAGGGGCTGCAATTGGGCTGCACCCCCTGGTTTGACCCCATTGGTGGTGAGCTTTTGGGAATACAGAGCGGGTTTTACTGCTGGGATGGGCAGGACTGAGCCAGCAGCGAGCTGAGGACATGAGTGTTGCATAAAGACGACGGTAACGTTTCCTTCATCCTGTTTTACTGTGTTTTCTCTCCTAGATTGGGTCATAAATGGAGTAAGAGCGCTTACTTTCTGCTTGCAGGACTCGGTCTGAGGCCCTCGGTTCCCTGCAGCACCGTGAGCGCGGCCGTGGCCGTTGGATTTGCCTGGGATCCGGCTGGAAATGGTGCTGCAGACCCGCAGAGGGCGGTGGAGCTGAGGGAATCGCTGCCTGCGCTGCTGGCTCCGGGGCTGCAGGGCTCAGCCACGCCACCGGCGCAGGGGTTCAGCCTGGATCTGGCCCCGGGTGATCAGCATGAGGTGAAATCCCTGCATTCCTAGGAAAAGAGAAGCGGTGTGGGTGCAGGGTCAAGAGAAATGAAGTAG